TGGCTCAGTCTTGATTTAGGTCTTAGCTACAATGCTACCAGTTAGCTGCTTGCTTCTGCAGTGATTTACCTAATATTAAACACTATATATGATATATTTAAAATTAAAGGCTGTTAAGTAAACACTGACATAAGCATGAGTGTTTTCGCCTGTTGATGAAGGGTAAAAAGGAAAGGTCTGCCTACAACCCCCGTGAAAAAGTTGCCTTTCTGCAAGCTTGCCGGCAGCTTAATTCCTTTCTGGTGTCACACTGATTCCTGCGGTTCAGACATGGCTTAGGTCATTCATGTTTCCAGTCACCACGGCAACAATGGCTCAGCAAAGTGTCATTTGCTGTGCACCATACCAGGCTGTGAATTGCCTAACCCTAATTCTCAGTCAGTCAGTAGTTCAAACAGTATGCATCAACAAACATTTCTGCCCAGTGACCTTCTCTTTATGGTTTCTGCCAAATTGCTCAGAAGAACATGCTTTTTGTTCCCCTCTGCCGAACTGATTTCACTCCTTTTGTGTCTGTGGTGTACAGCTTTCACCTTAATTTGCCCTTCAACCTCGAGACAGCAAAATACTTCAGATGAAAATAAGCCTAGACTAAAATATTAATCTGGTTCAGTCATTTTGATTTGTATGCAAAAAGTACGTAATGACTAACCAATATTCCTTAGTCAAGACAAGGGGCAAAGGTGGAAGTAGGGTAGCCAAAACTGTTTTTGTTCATATGAGTATCAGTTTGGTGTTTTTAAACTTAAAAGTATTTATAAAGCTTGGTGATTAAGAATACATTTTTATTTTGTTGATGTGACTTACGAATGTGTCACTCCTTCCCATGATATTTGGCTTGAGTATTATATGTACTTCTGTATTTCTGCTCCAAACTAATGATTAATCAAGCTCAGAGAAGGCAAAATTGAGTGAAAATCTATTTTATTTTTTTAACAATTTATCAATTTTTGCTTTTCTTATAAAAAATGGTCAGATTTTTTTGCCCACATGCAACCTGTATCTGATGTTTTCATCGTAGTCCTAACAACACAGATCCAATTTTTTCCAATGTGACCCAGGCCACTTGGCTATGTGGTCCTGAATTCGATACAAATCTGATCTTCAAATGCGGCCAGATTGCATTCATCCGACCTGAACGTCATTAATACTCAACAAAGGTCACTATCCTGCGTCTTGCTACGCAGAAGCAGCAATAAAAACAACAACAATGGTGGACGACAATTGAAACTCAGATTTAGGTGAATTTGAAGGTTGCCTTTTATGGTCATCATAAAAAGGAATATAAGTTGGTAATGCAGTAATAGCCATTCAAAATTTCCCCTTGATGGGCCCTTGGCTGGTCCCCTACAATTCCTTTTTGAAACATCGATCTTTGTACTAAAATGTTCTTTCAGTCATGATTTGTGGAAATTAAGATCTAAAGAGTAGAGTCATCTCCTGGTCAGACCCTGTAATTCAGTGAAAGGGTGGAGTCAGAGTAAAAAATATGCATGCCAAGGAGAAGGCCAGTGGCTGTAAGTTGCAGGAAAGTGGGCTGCCATTCGGCTGGCGTTTGACTGGGAAGGGCCATTGTACTTTCTCAGTTGATTTTCTAATTTAGCAGAAATATATTTCTGCTAAATTTGCTTTATTATATATTCTATTATATATTATATTATATTATATTTTATATTATATTATATTATAAGCAAATATATAATATTATATATTATATATTTGCTTTATTATATATTCATGAAGTATAAATATATGATTATGTGCTTTCTTGTTTTGGCCTATAATGAATTCACAATAAATGGCACTACAGATTGCACAACAAAATCTGAAAATTCCCATGGGTACTGTAATGAGTGCAGATCACCAGTTCTGAAATTACAATGTTTACTCTCTGCACAAACATTCAATGTGCAAAATGAACCAAAACACCTAATCAACCAAATAAACCAAAGTACCTTCTGTAAGTAAAGGATTCGTAGTATCTACAATGTTTTTGAAAGATAATTTTCTATCCTTTGATGAACTTGTACACCCAGAAAATAAAGATTTTCCATTTCTATATTAGACACATTTAAATGTTTCATAAGTTAAGATTATCAATGTAATTAGTTTTCTACTGAAAGTTGAATGTGTTGATGTAAATTATACAAAAACGTATAGCTTTAAAAAGGATTACAAACCTAAACATACATTTTTTTTAGATAACAATGCGTTTCTATGTTTTAATATGGGATAATGTTAACATTTCTGGAATTAATCCTAGTTTAATTTAGAAGAGTTTTAAGTTCTGTTCAGAATGACTGTAGTTATCCATGAGTATTTGCTACCCTCTAGTGCATAGATCCAAACATAAAAAAAAAAAGATTCTTTTTACCTCTCTGTCAAAAATTTAACTGTTCTGCACCTCTTAACATGGAATCACATTGTACAGTTGTCATTATAGCAAAGTATTGTTTTTTCACCAACCTTGATTTGATTTACGTTTATGATACCAACTTTCTTATTGCGTCTCTTTTTAAGTTTTGTTTATGAAGAGTATGAATGTTTTTTCCAGTTAGTGACAATAGGGAAATGCATAAGAATAAAATGCATTGCTAAATAATTATGGCAGTCAGTCAGCTGTGCCTTTGCTTCCTTTTTATTTTTAGAGAAGTTATGTTTCTTACTAAATGGAAAAATAATGCCTTTTTTTATCAACAGCCATAGTGCTTTACAGTTCACTACTACAAAGACCAAATATAGGTGAAAAAAAAACCCAATTTGCGAATATATATCGGCAAAACATACAATACATACAATCCCCCAAAATACAATTAAATAACAGGCTTCAATATGAAAAAAAGGTTAAAGTTCACACGATATAATACTGTAATTTAATCTCAGTGCTGCCCATCATCAGAACTGAGGAAGCCTCTTGGATGAGAGGCGAAACGTCTTCTAGAAAAGTTCACATCCAGTTTTCTATACTGAATTTTTCAAGCTTGACCATGACCTGGATGACTGAGAATTATTACACCTGTCATTCCTTTAAAATGCTTATGTCTCTGGAGCTCCCTATGGCATTTTAATACAGCCATTAAGAAATGCGAGTGGAATACCATAGCTCCCAACTGAAGAAAATGTCTCAAGCTGCAGGAACAGCTAAAAAGGTATAGTAGGGGATTTTTCGTGAATTTTTTAAAAGACCTGCCCTCTCCACTAAAAAAAAGGACATGAACAACCCTGTACCTTAATAGGTGTTCCCGAGAGTCCCCTTCCGCAGACACTCTGGTGCATCTCTCCAAAACTGTAGGTGACCGCAGACAGTGCCGCAGACAGGAGGCCTCTGATTGGTCAAATGTACATCCGCCCTACATTATGCGTATTTCCTGTTTGGTACCTTACAGGCTTGTTTTGTTTGTATGACCGCCATTGTGGAAAACGACTTGTGAATTTGGACCAGATAGAAGAGTGAGGTGCACGAGAATGCTGGGACCCTTTTTCCACCTGGATCCCCACTCTTTTTCGCCCCTCATGTCCCTTCGTTCTTGCACAAACTTACCCCTTGCCTTTTTCCACTTCCTCACCACCTCGGCCGTATCTTGACCCACAGCTTGTTTGTGATTGTCCCTCTTGTGTTGTGGCGTGGAATAACATAGTGCAGACCAAGCTTCAAAATTGGGCATAAAACAAAATTAACTGCATCATAACTGCAACAAGCTCACTGCGACACACTGCTGCGGGAGTTTACATAGGCCTTTAGTCGCCGCTGTCAAGTAGCCACACCATATGGCGACAGTCTATGATGACAGCGGACCGCTGTGAAAGCAAATCCGATAATGCTTTGTGAGCACAGCTCTCCGCACAAAGTATTTTAGGATATATCTACCTCTGCTGATTCCTTTCTTTTCTTCTCATACACTTCAGACTCTTTTTCTCTTACGACCCTCAGCCGTTTTCAAAGAACTGCATTGAGGAAGGTGAGTTTCACTGACTGTCTGAAACCATTGCTCACTACAGATATACACCTGACCTAAAAGTGCACATGCACATTAAAAAGGGACAAGCATGTAAGACGGCATTATGTAAACATTATACTAGAATGATTGACAATTAGAAGGACCACTTATTCAGATGTTCCATCCAGAGAAAAAAAATTCTGTTCTCTACACCTTTAACTTTGAATATTTCTTATCTGCAGAAAGTCCACTCTATATTCACATGATCACAGCTTGTAAGCACTCTGATGGAGCAAAAAAGTGCTGTAAATTTTGTTGTTGTTGTATATCTTTGCTAGATAACATTAGAATTAAGACCGACCAACAGGTATGTTCGGAGGTTGCCATTTTACTGCAGAGAAGTTAGTTTGCAGTTGGATATTACAAAGACATTCGAAATACATTAACACTAACTTTACCGCAGTTTCAAACCTTTGAATTTGAAATTTATATATATATATATATTTAGCCAGGAAATTGATCTGCTATTGTTTGCGGAATCAGTGAATCAACTTCAAGGTCTCCTTACACCTGACCTGACATAGCCTTACCTGATGAGCCTGACATGCCCGTTCTGAAATGGATCCAACACTGCACTGAATACACTTGGACTAGGTCAAGCCTTACTTTATCCTTGTTTTTCTAAATTCAGATTTTGTGAAAAAGGCCTCAGGTTTTTTGTTATTTGAAAGAGAAAAAGGACAAATGTCTCTGTTAAGAATATTTTATTTGAATGGTTTCAACTTTTCCTTTGAACTTGTATCAGAATCTCACACTAAACTGTCTAGAAATCTATGAAGTCTGATAAAGAAAGTAAGAATATATTATTTTTCTAGAAATGATGTAATAGTTCAGACAGCGAAACTGCAGTTAAAGCAATGGGTGATTTTTTATATTAGAATTAAGGAACTACATTGAAGTTAAATGAATATATAACCACCATGCATAGGATCAAAATTAAATTTTTCGGTTTTCCAACTCAACAAAAAATGACTAAATAATTAATTAAAAAGGACAACGAAACATGTCTTACTTTTTATTTTCCATTGCACAGTAATCTCTATCTACAGAATTTCTAAATTTTGTGGCAGCAGATAAAGTCATTAAAACATCCATGTGAAATTTGCATAAAACTGTACAAGAAAATCAGCTACAATGAGAAAAATACTGCACCCCACTGATGAGTTTTGAATCCAGGACAGAAGATGGCAGGTGGAAATAGTCCCTCAAACTGTTGAGTTGTAAGCATTCAACCAGGTAAGAATACTGCAGACCATAACAAACAACACTTAAGCAGGTTGAAAACCTAATAAAATGACTGACGCTGGGCTGAAGAAATTAAAAATACAAACTGAAATAGGAGAAAGGAAAAGACAGGCTATTTTTCTGTGAGCATTCACACTCCATACAGAACATACAGGACCAGACTTCCACTATAGCTGTGGGATGCCATGGTCATTCAAAACAGTAAACTCTGAAAATTGAAGGGCTTTTGTTTGAAAACAAAAGGTGTTGATTAAACAGTACTTTTGACATCATGCACCAATCCTCTCACAGATATATTTCTGGGTAGATGGCTTTCACTGTACTCTGAGACTGAAATGGATGCACTATTTTAACTGGGAGAGCCTTGGACATTAGCTATGAGACACCAGCATCAATAATATGTTAATCAGATGGACACAGATGTACAGACATCCCAATATGCTTCCATATATATATATATATATATATATATATATATATATATATATATATATATATATATATATATATATGAATACAATACATTTTGTGTGAATTGAACTGTGGTTCTGGATAGACTGGAACAATATCATAACTCATACCTTGGTCCACTCAAGACATTTAACTCTAGATCATGACACATTATACAGCCATTTCAATGGTGTTGGATTTTAACATCAAGGAACAAACAACAAATATCAGAGGGGAGAGAATTCACAATTATAATTTATGCCTTTTATCCACTTGCTATGAATAAAGGTACAATGGATCACAACGGCGCACATGCATCTCATTAAGTTTTAATCTTTTTGAAAAGTTCATTTATTCTAACAGTTTAGTTCTAAAGGTGGAGCACAATCTAATATGATTCATCACATACAGTGATATGTTTAATATCTGTTATTTTGATGGTCATGGGACTTGGCTAATTGAAAAAGAACAAACTATTATTTCATTTCTCACAACTTCAGGATATATCATAGGCTGACACAGAAAAAAATATTGTTTTATGGCCTATAAAACTATAAGGAAGACTTCTGACATGACAGTTATATTGTACTGTAGGCTGCCACAGACACCCTCCATATGGAGGATAAGCCACAAAAGGTCATTGCTACAGAGGCTGGCTGTTTACAGAGGACAGTGTTCCAAAGGAAAGGGTTGTTATTAAAAATAAAGGTACACAAGCAACAAGGGTAACAGCAACATTGAAAGGATTCTAATCCAAAACTTATTCAAGAATCTGAGAGAAATCTAAAGTCCTAGACAGAAAAAGTTAATATTTTGGGGTACATAGCACTTTGTATTGAACCTAGTCCACATGTTTTGATATTTTTATTTTGTTTGCATGACTATAATAAATGAACTTTTCAATGATTTTCCAAGTTATTGAAATACACATGTATAACTGGGGGGGCAGAAGTGGGTAACCCAGGTCAAGAGAGTAAAAAGCCTGTACAGAGATTAGTTTCAACCGTTTGCATTTCCAGCTCTACAACAAAGACCTGGGGCTAATCACCTGGTTCAGAGAACAGAACAAAGGGTAGGTTTTTTACTTCCAGAACCTGGATTATCCACCTTTGTGGTAGCGCCTGGTTCCAAGAGGCATGGTAAAAAAACAACAACAAAAAAACACAATGGACAAGCTAAAGCAACTCTTTGGCGTCAGAAAAAATATGGCCTGTCTCCTCTTTTTTTTTTTTTTCTTGTGCAACCTTAATGTTTACTTTCTAGCTGGTCTAAGATTGTCAAACTATTTACTTATGTACAAATAAAGGTTAGAAGCGTAACAGACCGGAGAGACATCACATGGAGGGGGCTTATTACTGTAAACACTGTAGCAAAAATAAGCTAGAAAACAAATAAAAAATCATGGTGAATAAATAAGTACATAGACGGCACAAAGTTTATGGAAAAACTATAAATATGAATTAATTTCAAAATGTGTCTCTTAAAAATCTTGCAAACATATATATATGTGTGTACCGTATATATATTGTAACAATGCCTTTTGACTATTACTCACTTGCTGTGGCAAAGCCTGTTTATTTCCTCTTAAATGGTGCCACCAATGTAAAATTGTATTGTTTATTGCTTACTTGCCAGAATTTCCCCATTGCGGGACAATAAAGGGATTTTATATTCTATTCTTTTCTATTTTCTGTGACTGATCAGGTTGCCTGATATACCAGGAATGAGGATCCAAGTGAGTAGAATATGCAAAAATTATAATTTCTGTCATTGCACTCAAGTGTTGATTTAAACCACACTGAACACAACCACATTAGTTGAATTATGACAGTATATGAACAAGCTGAAGACCAATATAAAAACAGGTACCAGGCTGTTTTGGCTGAATACAATTTCCTTATGCACAACTGAGACCATTGTTTGTGAAATTAATACCTTTTATATTATACTTTGTTTGTTCATATTTTATTTATTTAATCCAAACAATGACTCCGAAGACCCAATGAAAAAAATAAGCCTTTTCAATTTGGCAAAGAAAATCCATTGTTTTTGTGTGTTCATCCTAAATCTTCAGCTGTGCCATTTCATCCACAGAAGCATCTTTCTAAAATATGGGAAACTTTGCTGCTGCTAAAAAAAAACAAAAAAAAAAAAACAGTCTAAGGTTTGTTTTAAGGGAATCATTGTTACAACAAAGAAACAACTGACCAAACACAATAGCAGGTCGAATGTTAAGATCCAAATCAATATAAAAATGGGGAAAAGAATGTATACCCTTGCTCTTCTAACAGATCCCAGCCCTTTTCATAAAAACAAAGTGATTTATGTCAGTCACCATTTTCGCACCATTAGAAAAATAAATATTTGAATAATATTGAGCAGGAAACCCCAACAAATATTTAACAGAGGAATGACATACACTCCGTCTCTCATACACAAGCACTCTGTAACAGTTTTAAAGTCTAAGATACAGAGGAGAGTTTGAGATTGAGTAAGATGATGAAATACACAGCATACATCAGAAAGTAGCCTTAATCTTTGTGACTCTGCACACATTGTCTTAGACTCTGCTCGTCTCTCTTCCATCTCTGCAATGAGAAATCTCCTTCTTTCCTCTTTGTCACAAAGGTACAAAAGTCTACAAGTGGATACAGCATTGCACATTTATTAGATCTATGTACAGATATATCAGTTTATTTAGATTTGTATTTTTTTCTTACATGAACTCGTCATTACTTGATTATACATAAAGTCTTGTTTCAGCCAAATTTGTTGGTTTGAATATTGCCCAAGAAGGTATACAGAGGAGACAACAATAAAAGGACGTTTTGGCAAATGAGAAAGAGGACTCCTCAGGTACATGGATCAATCCGAGACCTTGCAAGGGAGGCTCTACATAAACAAAATCACAAACAAAAAAAGTCACCATTTACTTATTACTTTCCTCTGAGGTTGTCTGTCTCCACCTCAGTTCCAGCTTCACACTGAGGTAAGAACAGGATCCGCTATTGTGCTAGGGACTAACTCCCGGATGTTTTTAATGAGGAAGGCTCAGAGGGACAGCTGACAGACAGATGGTGGAGAGGGAGGAGTCTGTGAGTCCAGAGGAGCTGATGGAAGGTCAGTGAGATACTTGTGACCACAGAGCTTCACTCCTTCCCAGTGGCTCATCAGAATTGGTACCATTTTTTGTCTTTGCATTTCAGCATCATCTACAGGAAAGAAAAACAGGTCAAGATAAGAACCTAAAAAGAAATGAAAATCTGAAAGACAACACAGGACGGAAGTGTACAATGTTCTGTACACTTGTCAAATCATAAGTCATAATACTATGGCTCTATCCTGCTCTCTAGTGGGCAAAGTCTATATATTAATATCAGCACAAAAAGGAGGACAGATCGTGGATATTTATAACAATATTATTATTATAATATATATTTAAGTATAAACTATTAATTAAAAATCTTGAAAATTAATAGCATGTTCAATCAATGCACATGTCAGTATACAGGGGACTTTTGTCATATGTGGAACACAACCAGTGCAAACAGAAATTACCTGGAGCCACCTTCCGGGTGCAGATGTAAGGCCCAGAGCTTCCTCACTAAACAGCTTCTCTTATGTCTTTTACTCAAATATGGAGCAATTTTTAGATGTAGTAATGCCAGGGCTGTGCAAAGAGTCCAGCAATTATTGTTGGCTATATTGCACCATGCACAAATTATGGTGCGGGTTTTCTTTATACCTCACATTTTTACACTGAAATCCTTTTGATTGAAATCTTGGCAAAACGATTCAAATAGATGTTATTTTAATCGTTATTTATTCTTTTAATGGATATTTTACTGATACTCTCCCTGGATTTTCCTTTACCTTTTTCTTAAACAATGTTTTAGAGGCAACAACAACAAAGGCAACAATTTTAAGGTTATGCTGATTTCCTAGTTTTTATTATGACTCATAAAGACCAGTAAAAATCCCACAAGGTTAACTGAACCCTAAATAAGGTTGATCAAATTAATTACAACAGCTAAAAAAATTACTAAGCTGCTTTAACAAAATATTTATTCAGTGTTTTACCTATAACGCATTCATTCTTAACTAAACTTTACAAAAAAAGCATCCATATTTCTGCAAAATCAATCTAGAAATAAAGAAAATGTATTGAATCTAGTGTATTTACCCTTAATTTAAGTAGGTAAATAAGATTATCTGCCAATGAAATGAGTATTTTTACTATTAAAATAAGATAATTAGATAAAATGTGCCTGAAATAAGACAATGCAATTGTATTTTCTCATTTTAAATGTAAATTGTCCCATTGGCAAAGTCAATCACTTACCTCCTCAAAATTCTCCTATTCTAAGAAAAAATTGCTTAGATTTTTTTTTATTTTTTGCAGTGTTTTCATTTTGAGAATGTAGTGTAATTATTTAGCTCTTATGAAGTATCTTTGCAGGCTTTTCACTTTTTTATTTTTAAACATATTCTCTTACATCATGGGCATGTTTGGAAAAAGAATCTGCGCTGGCCATCATGGCAGCTGTCCTCTCATCCAGTTCACCCAGTTTCTGGCCTCTCTCATCCAGCGCTATCCGGGCACGTGCTAGGTCTCCAACCACACCCGAGGCAGCCCCCTTCATCCCCTCAATGCCACCTGGGCCGGGGATGTGCTGAGCCAGACTTCGAGATGCCTTCCCAGCTGCCACCTCGCCAACTTAGGAAGCAGGAACAAGACAGAAGACAAAAAGGATGATAGTGTTTGTGGCTGCAACCATTCAAGAGAAGTACATCTGTGAAGATTTTTCCAGCTTACATAGTTCTTCCCTGTCAAGTGACTGTGCTCCTCCTCCAAAGAGGCCTTTAAAAAAACCTCTATTTGGTGCCTCTGGTGTTTCCACTGGTGTAAAAAGTTCACCCAACATCTCCTAAAATATAAAAAGCTGTGTCGTTACCAGTTAATGATATAGTATGCATCATGTATGCATTTTGAAAGTTCTCAGACTCTCAAAAAAAAAAAAAAAAAAGTTTAACAAAGAGCCTTTAGACCTGCCTGTAGATTTTCACAAGTTTCTTGACTGTAAGTTATCCTCTGAATCTCAGTAGGTGAGCAGAGGTACATGGCTTGGCCTAGGTTTGTGAAGCAGAACGTCCTAGCTATCCGCATGTCTGTCAAAGGTAGGTAGTTTACATCCATGAGCGGTCTCAGTCCTGGCACACTGAATAAGAAGCACAGAAACAACAGAAATCAATTTAAACAAAAGGATGACCAATAAAAGTTCCCACACATACAGTCATCCTTGCCATTCTAAACTAACAGTTGTCTGCATTCTTAGGCCATCTTGATAGGAACCACTTTATGATTTCAACATTATGAATAACTTTAAACATCACCCTAAAAATTCAAACCTAAAGAAAGTGTGAAAATGTTTTTGTCGACCAAGAATTAGGAAGAGGTGTGGGTATTTAAATGAACACATGTAAATCCCCTAGTTGTCAAGGCAACATCTGGACATCCTCACACTGCTCAGACACCCATAAGGACAGCTGCTCTCTATGTCCTTTCAGGGGAACTGTGACTGATGAGAATGGCTGTCACAGTCGTACACTCTCCCTCTATTATTACCCATCACACATTGTATAGAATTCCACCTGCTGTGTGAATAGAGCGTTTCCCACCTTAACAAATCCATCAGTTGGTAACAATCCTATAGCACATGGCTTTTAAAACTTGATGTGATTCCAAATATGGTAAAACATCTCAGCTTTATGGGAGAAATTGTGGAAAGGTGGGGGATTTTACTCGTATTTTGGGATTGCCTGAAGGTGGACGATTTTTGTAAAAATGTGCAAACAAAAAGAAGGCATTCATATAGATCTGTATATAAAAAAGACAATTAAATACTTGATCAGAGTTCTTCCTTTTGCTTGGTTAAGGCCACAACCTCCAAGTATTACACAGTGGAGAGGTCTATTTTATGGAAAAAGCAATATCAAGACAACAATGTAAGATGGAGACCTTTGAAACAAAGTGGAGACCTATAACTAAATTCATGCTGTAACCTTGACACCTCTATTTATTTGTTTGGTTGCTTTTGTACCTTACAAATATATTCAGTATTATTACTGTGTACTTGTATCACTGGTCTGTGTTTTCATTATGTCACAATGATTCACTGCAATCATTGTGATTTATATAGCCATTGATGCTGTTAATGAGTATACATATCTCTTAATGGTTCTAATGTCTATTAGAGACTGACACGGGAGTGGATTTTCACTCCTGTCCCATCCCACTCCCACAGAAAAAAATTGTGTCCCGTCCCGATCCCGGGCCAGAGTAGAAATCTAAATCCTGTCCCGTCCCACTCCTGGTGAAATTACTCCCACTCCCATCCCGCTCCCATTCAGAATGACTCCCGCTCCTGCACCACTCCCATTCTTGTTGTTTTTGAGCGCGGGTGAAAAACTCAGAGCGGAAGTTACTATTGGTTTGCTCCCGCTCCCGTCTGCTCCCGTTAATGTTTAATCCTGTACCGTCCCAATCCCGTGATCGTTACTAATACTGACTCCCATCCCACGGGAATCCCACGGGAATCCCGTGACCCATGGGATTCCCGAAAAAATGTCAGTTTCTAATGTCTATAGAAAAGAAATGTATATCTGTTTGACTGTCTTCTCAATCAACAATCCCTGGATATATTTTGGCACTGCTGGAAGTTCTGTATGCTTTGTGTAGGTGAAATGGCTAAAATGGTCTGCATAAATAAGATGTTAAGATGCACACTGTGAAATGTGACACGGGTGGACATGTGTATTTGTCAATATAAAAGTTATTGAAAATAAAAATAGAAAAAAAACCTGGATGTGATTTTAGACACAATGTTTTAAAGTTAAAGTTAAATTAGTTATTCACACTGAAGGAAGGTAGTTTTTTTTTTTTTTTGTCATGGCCAGCGTGGTTCTATGAACACAAAAAAACCTGGTGGCCTTGTAGATTTTTGTGAAACGATAATTTATCTGAAATTAAAGACAAGCAAGTATTTTTTCTTTGTCCACTTTGAAAGTGTTGCACACCTCAATTTACTTTTGGTTTCTTTTACTAAAAAAGCTACAGTAAAGGAAGAGCCAGAGCTATATAAGGAAAGCTAATTTGATGCAAGTCATAACAAGAAAAATAAATGCATGCAATATATTACTCTGTGTCTAATAAATCCAAAATATTGGACAACTCCCACTTTTTAGATGAAATAGGATTATGGTACAAATAATTGATAACTATTTAATTATTAATCAACTTTTTGAATTATATGCTTATCAATATGTGTTTGTATTCCAATAAGCCAATTTCCATAATCATTTATTCATTTAGAGTTTGCCTTCTTTATAAGCTTCTATAACACATTTATAAATACTGTTTGCTACAGCTGAAAGGCTTTAGGATTATTCCTTTTAAATATACTACAGGCTCTACAGCTGTAAAGCTGCAGTCCACTCCAGCCAAAGTGACTGTTTTATCCACAGCATATAAATTGTTGTCTTACAAATTTGGGATTTCAATAACAGTGTAGTGATTTATAAATAGTCAAAACATAAACTTCTTATACATCAGTATAATAAAGTTTAAAATTAAAATTGTATATCCTTTTTAGAACCATAAATGTTTCTAATGGCAAAGTCCAGTCAAACCCATCTATATTGTTACAAAAACGCTTATAATGGAGACATTGATTAACCTATCATCATTTCAGACTAACGTGCTACTCACCTGAGTGTCATTATGTGACCATTGGCACAAAAACAAGCCAAGCACACTCCCTGGTTCATCTGCACAATGTCTGCCCGTAAGATAAAAGAATTTTCTGTGATACTGTGTTTGTAGATGCAAGTCTGGGAAGGAAGGGACATGACTTTGGCCTGCTTCTCGGAGCACACCACAGCAAACTGGCTCTCATTTAGCTCCTGCGAGGTGGAAGGTGAAACAGAGACAGGCCGCCGCTTTCGGATCTTCTCTCTTTCTTCACCATCTGCTGTGATGTTGGGCTCATACCAGGGTTCAAATGCAGGAGCAAGCAATAAACCAGTGGAGTCCAGAAAAGAGATCCGCATGATGCTTCCCTTAAGCCGCACCAACATACCTTAAAAAGAAAAGGTTTTTAGGAACCAACGGATATTGTATATTATATGTATATATATATGAATTATACATGTATAGTTTTACCCGTAGGGGAAATTATAACTGGTTGCAGTTGCCGCTGCTCCCCAGCAGATGGCAAAGTGATAGCCAGAACCAACACAGTCCCAAGTGAAGTGCCCACATAGAGGCAAGGTGTCAAAGTGCAGTCCCCCTTACGGGCAAAAGTCTCGCAGAATAGAAAGGAACTTATAGCTTCCCGGGCTTCTTTGTCGATGCTGGTGACGCTGGAGGAGCGTGAGCGGCTGAAGGAGTTGTCCCGGTGGTCTAACGGGTTGGCACCCCGCGGCGGGCACACAGAAAGAAGGACAGTAAAGAAAAAACAGAGAGAGGTAAAGCACCTACAAAGCAGCAGCTTCAACACATTGTGCACTTTTCTTACAAAAGCAGTGATTACAACTTCAACCTTTTCCTCAATTTCTTACTTTAATTCAATCTATTAATTTATTTTACTGGAATATAGTGTGACAGACCAAAACAAAATGAAACTGTTAAAAAATTATACATATATTTGATTAAGAACAAAAATGAATTTGCCTAAATGTTGCCAGGCATATTCTATTAAGTGAATACTTCAGTTCAAACCAGTGCGCTAGAGAAGTCCCAGTGTCTTTAGAGTCACTGTCCTCTGCTCAAATAATCTCTTTTTTAATCAGGAAGCTTTGCCCTTTATGTTCCTTTAACAATTTTCTCAACAAGGCTAAATCAGCTTCTCAGCACCTGCTGATAGAAGCATCATCAAAGCTTCATAATGTCCCCATCATCCTTCAAAACCGTCATCAGTAAAAAAAAATATGGTGTTTATGGTGATGCAGATTAAAGAACTTCAAGAATGAGGCCTTCTTTTGGTTTCAAGGGCTTTTCTCTTATTAGTTTCTCAAAAGGTCAAAATGGTTAGTGCACATCAGCTTAAGCTGGCAGATCATCCACCAAATTTGTGGATCTCACAAATGTGAGTTCAGATTGATGGTCATCATATGATTTTATGATAATTATACCATGAAAATTATTCATATTATTAAAGTTAGTTAAAGCAGTAGACGTTTTCTTTATGAAAAAACTTGTTTCCACCTTTATAGTAGAGTGAAGCAGGATCTGAATTTGTTTTTTTTAAATTCAGCTTTACATCTACAGTATTCAGTACTTTATGTGGTCAGTCACATAGGATTCCAGTAGAATACCTTCGATATTGTGGCTGCAATAAGACAAATAGTGAAAAAAGTTAAACCGTTACACACAATAAAATTATACCGGAGGCAGATTTTCATTTTGAAGAGGTGAGGTTGAGTCCTTTCTTAAATTCTTAAGATAAAAGAGATTTATGTTTTCTCCTGGGCATTATGATTTTTACCTCAATGTTTTAGAAGAAGCCATAAATTAAGATCTTATTGTCTTATGTTCTTGATTTTTATATAAAAAAGAACAGAAAGTGTTTGATACCCAAATAAAGAGTAATCTACACATTAAATATGTTGATAAGAAAAAAAATATATATAAAAAAAATATGTATATATACACTATATTGCCAAAAGTATTTGCTCACCCATCCAAATTATTGGAATCAGGTGTTCCAATCACTTCCATGGCCACAGGTGTATAAATTCAAGCACCTAGGCATGCAGACTGTTTTTACAAACATTTGTGAAAGAATGGGTCGCTCTCAGGAGCTCAGTGAATTCCAGCGTGGAACTGTGATAGGATGCCACCTGTGCAACAAATCCAGTCGTGAAATTTCCTCGCTCCTAAATATTCCACAGTCAACTGTCAGCTGTATTATAAGAAAATGGAAGTGTTTGGGAACGACAGCAACTCAGCCACGAAGTGGTAGGCCACGTAAACTGACGGAGCGGGGTCAGCGGATGCTGACGCGCATAGTGCGAAGAGGTCGCCAACTTTCTGCAGAGTCAATCACTACAGACCTCCAAACTTCATGTGGCCTTCAGATTAGCTCAAGAACAGTGCGCAGAGAGCTTCATGGAATGGGTTTCCATGGTCGAGCAGCTGCATCCAAGCCATACATCACCAAGTGCAATGCAAAGCGTCGGATGCGGTGGTGTAAAGCACGCCGCCACTGGACTCTAGAGCAGTGGAGACGCGTTCTCTGGAGTGACGAATCGCGCTTCTCCATCTGGCAATCTGATGGACGGGTCTGGGTTTGGCGGTTGCCAGGAGAACGGTACTTGTCTGACTGCATTGTGCCAAGTGTAAAGTTTGGTGGAGGGGGGATTATGGTGTGGGGTTGTTTTTCAGGAGCTGGGCTTGGCCCCTTAGTTCCAGTGAAAGGAACTCTGAATGCTTCAGCATACCAAGACATTTTGGACAATTCCATGCTCCCAACTTTGTGGGAACAGTTTGGAGCTGGCCCCTTCCTCTTCCAACATGACTGTGCACCAGTGCACAAAGCAAGGTCCATAAAGACATGGATGACAGAGTCTGGTGTGGATGAACTTGACTGGCCTGCACAGAGTCCTGACCTCAACCCGATAGAACACCTTTGGGATGAATTAGAGCGGAGACTGAGAGCCAGGCCTTCTCGTCCAACATCAGTGTGCGACCTCACAAATGCGCTTCTGGAAGAATGGTCAAAAATTCCCATAAACACACTCCTAAACCTTGTGGACAGCCTTCCCAGAAGAGTTGAAGCTGTTCTAGCTGCAAAGGGTGGACCGACGTCATATTGAACCCTATGGATTAGGAACGGGATGTCACTTAAGCTCATATGTGAGTCAAGGCAGGTGAGCAAATACTTTTGGCAATATAGTGTATATACACAACTGAATGTTGGGATACAAATGGCAATTTTGCAGACTAAATAACTTTTTATTGTTACAATAAACAGTCACACAAGGAAAAGAAAATACATAAAGAAGACAAAAGAGGAAAAGAAACTGAAAAAGCTACTGTACAGAAAGTTTTAGGGTAAAAAGAGTGAGCAAAGACTAGTACTTCAGCACCACTGACCTCTTATCTTCTATGGTTAAATGAAAAACCAAATAATAAAAAGAAATTAAAGGCAGGGAGTTATGTTCAAAAATTTGATTCAGCTCAATACATTTCAAATCCAGCCAGATCAGTGCTACTTTTAACACATGCAAACTTAAGAGATCTGCACAGTTTGCCAATTTTGAGACTAAAAACCAGAGAAAAATACTCCACTGGACTAATGGAATGTGGCTAAGTCCAGTCACAGCGAGGAAATCAAACTGCAAATCATATAAAAGACTGTTTGGAGACACGAAGTCAAGGCTTACCCAAGTCTGGCTTTAGCTCAGTAGGCAAGCTTAATTTCCGTGACATCTTTGCTGGAAAAAAGAGAACATCCCTCTTTACAAACACACATCTAAGCTATGACAAGGTGCCATGCAAAGCCAGGTAGCCAGAACTGGACAAGGATTGAGCACAATGCTGAAGGACACCTAAATAATAGGACTTTAAAAATAAAAACTGTGGAACATGTCCAGGGTACTTGGTTTACTGACAAGAGGGGCCAAAATGCTTTACATATAAGACTTCCACGTACAGTAAGAACATAGAGGCAACCCCTGTATCTAAAAGGCATGCTGTGACAGAAAACAAAAGGAGGAGACCATTGGTTGCACAAATGCCTCAAGAGAGGACTGGTAAAAAAGACCAAAACTGCAGGGGCATTCAGGACTGTCAGGTCAAAGAAGCATGCAGCAAGAACCAGAACGTAATAAAAAGTAACATTAGAGGTTAAAGAAGACAGTGACAGTGAAGAAAAGGTGGTTAAAGTTGACTTGAAAGGTTTCACAGCTCTTTTATAATTTTACTTCGACTTCTTGTTCAAGAGTAAAAACAATTGACAGTAAATAAAGGCTAGAGGTACTGTAGTTTGACCCGCACCGTATAGATAGAGCTTCATCATACACTCTTTGAGGTGTTACGCTTTCTAGAAATATTTATCAAGTGTAGATGTCGCCAGTGGTTTAAGTTGGTGCTTTCTCAGGATTCCATCCAAAACAAAGCCTTAAATGACAAACAAGCTTTGACCTTACAGCAAAAATTTGGTTGCATATGTATGTTTTTTTTATAGTTTGAGTGGTGGACAATGTTAGGCCCCACTAATCCCCCTGAGCAGGCCAGTGGGAATGTATTCTTTTAAATAGAGGTCATGAAGGACACAGCAGGCATATTTGATAGGTGATGAGGATCCAGACTAAAGATTCAGCAGAGACAGGAATTGGAGCTCCTGCATCATGAGGGTAACCATAACCTCATTTGTGTGTAACTCCCAGGTTGATGCAGATGAGGGCTTGATGGTCTGATCCTCACATTCATTATAATCAGAGACCCACTCAGCTTTAATTGCCTTTGGGTTGTCAGGTTTGATTGTGTTCTCAATGCTGCACAAGCTTAACCATTCACTCCATCGTAGCATGTGTAGACTTTCTATTACTCAAATCTGTGTTGCTAAAACTTGCTCCACAGAAAAGATCACATGGGGCCACATAAACAACCTGCAAACCAAAGTCTATTGACAATTAAGAATTACCTTGCATCACCACCTCCACAATCGAGAAAGTATTCTTAGCGGTTTGTAAATCTGGGTTGGATAAGGTTTGATGGTGCCTTCTCGCTGTTTATTTAGTTTTTAGCTTCACAACCATACATTACCTGGAACCTGAAAGAAAAAGGTTTTCCAGAAACTGCCAACTGCATTGGTTTATAAATATATTAATTTATTATTGAAGAGACAGAGCTTTGGTTAACGCATGTCTAGCTTCGGCTGGCAATGTTTTTATATGAAGAAGTTTTGCTAGGCTAAATCTAACATGATTCATATAGAATTTAACAAAAGAAACAAATTATAATTCCTCTATTTTTTTAATACAGTTTAGCTTTATTAAATGTTGCTAGATCTTCCAAATAACATTATGTCTTAAAAACCTAATGCTGTGCTCTTAATATCATGAGAATTCAATGTATATTGTCATGCTCTGTGCACATTTCTTCTCCAGTGAATGTTTTAAATAAATTAGCACAGGACAGAGCTTTGCATCCAATTAAGTCTGTGCATATTTGAATATCAATATAAGAAGTAAAAAAAAAACAACAAATTAAAAATCTTATTTGTTAAATTAAAATCTGTAGATATTATAGGGTCAGATTATTGGATAGTAAATTCCTCTTTTCTTTGATTTAACGTTTGGATCGAAACTTTGTCATAACAGTTTGATGAATTTTTATTTTATTACGTAGTTGGAGCAATGAGTGGCTCAGTGGTTTTATAGGACATTATAAACAATCATATCAGACAGACAGCAAACGCAAACACATTTACACTCAGACACATGTGCTACATACAAGTAGCATGCAAGATCTGTATCATACAACTATTTTATCTTAAAACAGCAGCAATCTCAGCCTCACTCTAGGTCATCCTCTGCTCCAAGAACTTTCAGTTTTTCTTATGTTGTGTTAATGTTTACACTCAAGCATAAAAATAAGCATAATTCATCAGGTTATAACAAAAATAAAAATAAAAAAATTGAAAAAAATAAAAATATGCAGAACTAAAAGGAAGTGGAACAGAAGCTAACCTTGACACATTAAAAATGCTGTTATCATCTTGTTTTTATGAATGTAAAATAGCATTTGAGTGACTACAGACATTAAGGACAGAGAAACATAACGGGGAACCAAACCGGGACCACATTTGTCCTGCCAACAGAGCTTCTTATGGAAACTTTGGGCCAGTCTTACCTCCTCTACCACCTCCATTGTAGAACTGTTGAAGATTGCTGTGTGACATCAACACTTTTGGAGATAAGGGAGGAGTAAAGTACAATAAATGTACAGTTAAAAACAACAATTTGTGTCAATTTAGATCAGTTTTATGGGGAAAATCATATTTTTTATCTTAAATACAATGTTTTGAGTTTTATTTTTTATCGTGTCCTCTTTTTCAAAAAAAGAAAAAGGAAAATGTGTTAATTTTGAGATTATGCTCCTGCAGTAAAATATGTGTTCATCCAAAGGCTTTGTGCGGAAGCCTAAAAGGGAAACGACTAAATAATATTTTAGTGCGGGATCTTGGGTTATTTTATAAAGTTCTTTCATTTGTTTAAAAATTTATATTTTTTAATGCAAAATAAAATAAAGTGATAAAGATACAATTTTTGAAATCAGGTAATTTTACCAGAAATGGTGGGGACTAATATCAGACCTGATGAAAGCTGGAGGACGACATATAGGGTGGATTTGTATCTGACCTTTTAAAAAGATTGATCATTTTATATCATGGCTGTGATATCATCTATTACAAAATGAAACAGGGTCATTCTGTTTTTTGTTTTTTTCTCAGTGGTACCAGCATTGTAGATTATTTGAATGCAAACCAAAGAGCATCTCTGCAAAACAAGACTAACCTACTTTCTCTCTGGACCTCTTATAAAACCTGTCTCTACTGCTGGGGAGGAAATGCCTCAATTTACTGAACCCACACACTAAAAAATAAAGGTATCTGCATAAAAACTAAGTTCAAAATTAAGTTGCATATTTTTGGCAAAATAATAAATGTATTGCACTACCGGTTTTTTCACACAGTAATAGTTTTTTCACACACGTTGGTTGGATTTACCTAATTAATAGTTACACTAAGTTAATCTCACACATAATATAAACAAAGTTTGCACGGGGTAAGAAGTTCAAGTATTGAAAACATAACTGAGTCTGCTGGACTCTGTCAACTGATAAATGAATATGTGTGGAAATGGGGAAACACTGCTCAGACTAAAAAAAATGAGTATTTCTAAATGTTGTGGATGAGTGAAACTGACAGTAAAGCAATTTTATGGTTCAGCAAAAAAACATACTATACAGTTCTGCTTTAATAAGCAGCAGTTAATAGTCAATCTTAAAAGCAAGACACATCAATCTTGTTTGCTGACTATAGAAAAAAGTACTATGTATAAGCTTGACAACATATTTGGACTTTTTTCCATTTAGACAAACCTGATGTTTAAATCTGTAGCATTGTTTTAACCAGAGCCACTGAAGAACATGTTACCTGAAGTTGGAGACTTGCAGCGGTCCTCAGATGTGGCCGAGTACTCGTTAATGTCACACAAACCTACAGTAGAGTAGATATAACACCAACTGGCATTAAATTGATTAAGATATGAAGATGTAATTCTACAATAGCAAACAACAAATATAAATAAAATAAAATAATAATAATAAAATAAAAATGTAAAAATAAAAAAGGACAAATGATTGAAATTATATTAGAAATTAAATTAAGAGCAATTTAAAACATTTCTTTTCTACATGAAGTAATGTGGGAGTGGTGGTGTGTGACATTGTTCTGTGAGGCAGAGAGCCGTCCAGACCAGAGTACCCTGTAGCACACAAACACAACTGAAAGTCTGATTACAGATCGTGCTTGCCAAGCTCTGATATGAACCCCCCTGGTGCTTACCAGATTATATGGAAGATCTCTTCATCCTTTTCAGCACGGGGAAGAATATGTGCAATATTTTTGGTTTCAGATGCGGTTTCTTTCAAAAGCTATAAACAATTGTATTTAAAGTCATTACCCAACATCTCTGGGCAGATCTTTCAAATCTGCCAAACGTACAAATGGAAAGTGAATTCCTAGAGGGAAATTGATCTGCATTGCTATTGTCCAACACATGATGGCAGTGTGTTAACGCTGAATCAAGTGATACATTGAGGATACTTTAAAACTCAGGAGGAGAAAAACATACAATCTACAAAGATATATATGAAAGAAAATATGGTTAGGTCTTTAGAGCTTAAAATAATATCCATTGCAAAAGAGGATGAGATTAAAATAGGCCATTTGATTATACTTTTTCAATAAACGTAAGTAATTTTTTCTAATGTCAGTATAATAAAAGCAGTATGGTGATTGTCTCAGATTTTTTATTTTTTTTTCCAGAGAACTTTGGGGATAATGAAAACCAGCACACAGGCCATGGATACAATTGCAGAGACATTTATAGCATGACTGAGTTTGAAAACAACATCTCAAAGTTTGTATAAAACTTAAGGCACAACTGAATCCACAAAAGCTGAAGCTGTGGTTGTAACCTGACAGAGTGTGATACAGTTCGAATGGTATGAATACTTCACAAAGGACTATGGATGCAGTATCTGTGTGTATATTTATGTCTTCTCACATTAATATGAATTTACTGATTAGATTAGGGACTAAGCACCTGTGGTGGCAATAAAAAGCCTATATGCTTAAAAACAACTTAATGCTGTCAGCTGAGGGAAAATACAAACTTGAATTAATTTCCTTTAGGATTGATTTCATCCACTAATCCAGCCACAGGTGAAAAGCTGACAAAAACAAGAGATTATAGGGTTGGGATTTGTTTGTAAGACAAAAGTGTAGAGAACATCCTTTCCTCATGGGTCGATTTCTATTAATATTGACAGCAATATCCTTATCTATCGTCATTTCTTCTACTTGAACAACAATTTCTATCATGACATTAAAGGAAGTCTATTTGTTTAACTTATGTTTAGTTTGGCTTATTTTTGTATGATGCATTTGTTTCGAATTAGAAACATCTCTGCAACATTTAGATAAGCTTTAAGGTATGCGATTTTTGTTTAGCTTTAGACTGGTGTGAGGCAATAAGCATCTTCATTTTATCAAAAAAAAATCAGTATTTAAACATTTTAAACTAACCCCCTCCCTGCAATAAGATGTGCATTGTTTATTTTTTACATGCCTTATCTGTCATTTTTTCATCTTTACCTCCAGAAGGCTGCCGTGTTTTTCTTGGCGACCGAGGCTGTCTCTGGTAGGGATCATTGGATCCGTAAAGCTCCACCGTTCCCAGGTTAAGGACCACAGTTTTCTGGATGTAGTCCACCACTGCTAGGCCATTGCTATTGCCAAACACCACTCTGGGATGTGAGGGAAGAAGATAAAGAGGAAGTGGAAGAAGGTGAAAGTAGGTTAAAAAACAAGGATTAAAAGGCAAGAAAAAGCAACATGAAGTAAAAACAAGATCACATATACATATATTATACATTTAGTCAAATAGATAAGATATGAGTTCATAAATCATATTGTCAAGCATTACTTTGCAAAAGTACGCCAAGCTCTTTTCACTTTTTGTCACATAACATCCTTAAACCATATTGTGGTGCACTAGCTAAATGAAAAGATGGGGTGATAGACTGAGCTAAATAAAAGGTAATCCTGAAAGAAGCATCATAGTTCTTCAGCAGGACTGAAGAGCCTCCATAAAGCAAGATTTATAATGTAATGTTGGAGAAAAAAATGCATGCGCAAGAATGGCCCAGTCAAATTCAAGACTTAGTTCCAACACAGCAATAACTCCAGCAGAGAAATTGACTTGACTTCAAAATTGCTGATGCAGCAGAAATTTGACTAGTATCATTTCATGATGAGCTAAATTAAAAGATATTGAGAGTATCATGAATTTTTTTAGGTATTAAAATATTTTAGCAAAAGTTTAAACATAAATGTAAAAAAATAAAATATATAAGGTGAACATCTGATTAACTTCTGCTGCTGAAGATTCTCAGTCATCCAAGAAATGAAAACCAAAAGCAATAAAATGTCATCTTTTATTTTAAGTTTTAAACCAGGCAGTTAAAAATCCATTAATAGGGCCTCGGTTTAGTTATATTAAACTTAAATCAAAAAAAGCTTAAAACAAAAATGCTTAAAACGATTAAAATGCAATGTAGGAAAACCACATTAATGTGTATTTTTAAAAATTTTATTCTGTATAACCAAAAACAACATCTCATGCCTAGACCCCATCCATTAAATCTGACTTATCTTGTGTAATTAAGCTAAGTGTAGAAGGGGATAACGTGAGTGTATAAAAATGTAAGCTGGTAAAGACATGTCCAAGATAACTATAGCAAAATCTGGGTCTTTACAACAATACAGACTCAGGTAGAATCAATTCAAATGTGCGTTAGAATAAAATTCTGCAAAACAAAATAAACAAAGATTTGCAAATCTTTGTTTTTTTTCAAAACAATGCTAATTTTCACATGAAATCCCATAACACAAGATTAATGATTATGGTCATAAGTTAATTAAAATGTTAAGCAGTATGAAATGTTGCAAGGTGTTACAATTAAGTAGAGAATTAGCTGATATCAGATAAAAATAAAACAGATGCATTGTTCTTATCAACTCCCTGTGTGTCCACTTACAGGCCATAGGATGAATTCAGCACCAGACTTGTGATCTGCTGAGGAGGCTCTCCACTCACCCACACAGACTGGACCACCAAATCCACCTGGTAGCCTGGAGATTGCTTCAGAGGACTACTTCGCACTCTGTGGAGAGGGCAAAAAAAGGAATAAAAACACAGAAGGGCAAAAAGGATATATATATATTAAAAAGTGAAACACAAACAGTGCGGCTGAATATGTGAAACAGCTCTGTGTGTAGACAGTCTGGCGTGAAAGGCTACAGGGAGATGATGGGGAGGTTGTGGCTAAAAATGCTCCAGGCATCTGAATAACTTCATGCAACTGTGCTTGAGGCTAAAAGAAAGACTATTCTTTTTAGGCTTTTGCACTTGATCCTGCTTCCTTCATGTAAGCTGATTTCAGTGTGTGTCTTTCTCATACTTAAGGCAGGGTATGTTGCCTCCGTCAGAGTTGTTGCTGCTGGTGGAAGGATGGGAAGGTGGGCCGCTCGTCTGAGGGGAGGCACCAGGGGTGGGATGTGCCGATGTTTGCTCACCACCTCCACCATCTGGAGACTCCATTTCGTTCAGCTCGTACTGCATTCGCACCTCTAGTAACTGTAAACACACACAGATGTGCTCAGACTGACAGCAGGGATTAGAATATATAAAAACATGGGCCTATCTCAGGGTCCTTATGTATGATTTTTATTTTATTTAAGATTCCAGACATTTTTAGTCAAATTTCTGTCTCTTACTTATTGTTTTGTTAGATTAACAATTTTTGAGATTAACATGTATGAATAGATTAAATATATTAATACATCTTCAACCTCCTCATATTGTGTCATTTTCCTACCATAATCCTCTAAAATAGAATACCAAAATTACAAATGGTGTAATAAAGACCAATGAGCACACAAGGCAGGTCAGAGCACAAACCTAAATCTACCAAAACATTACTGTCTATCTAAAATCATAGGCCATCCAGGAGCTCTTTATTCAGAAAAGCTGAAAAGTTTCCAAGAGGTCCTTGGTAACTGTAAAGGAGTTAAAGAGATCCATAGCTAAAGGTATGAGAATCTGTATACAGGACAGCTATTTAGACATACAGTCTAAAATGTGGCCTTTATCAAAACACAAGAGGAAGAAAACCATTGCTGAAAGAATACAAAAGGAGTCCTGTTTTTTGTCATAAGCTGTTTAAGAGTCACTGCAAATGTAAAAGATATGCATGGTAAAAAGGTGTGGCAACATATGCATGAGTCAGAATGACATAATTAAAGTGCAGACCTAAATGCAAATGAGAATCTTTGGCAAGGGTTGAAAACCATTGTTTACAGGTGATGTTCACCAAAAAATACTGAGCTAGAGTTATTTGTCAAAGAACTGACAAAAATTGTGGTCTCTAGATGTGTTAAGATGCCAGAAACATTTCCTATGGAAAACAGAATGCACCTAATGTATTGTTCAGAGAGTTTATGGCCACTGCCAATTCTCAGCTGCTGTGAACTAGTTGTACTTCTACATTTTATGCTAGAAATTTGATTTGTAACGTTTAAAACAACCGTGTGTATTTTTCTTTCCCTACCCAATAAGCTGCGTTTTAATTGGTAGACACATACACATAGAATCCAAATTAACAGTAGGATGAAAAATTGTAAAGTGATTCGGACATAACTTTTAAAACACTGTACAGCTACAATAATTATTCAAACAGGATAACAATACATCGATGAATGACATCTGCTTACATTCAGACAGTCGTCTTTGATGAAATGGATTTTCAGTGATGTGTTTGCATGTGTGTGGGCAGGGAGAAAGTCAAAGAGCTCCTCTAATACTGGAACACTCAATTCCTTCTAAATCCCCCTTCAGGCTACCCCTTTGCAACCTCCGCCTTCGCAAAGATACACACAAACACAATGCTGATAAGCTTTTCTCTTTGGCATTCTGTCAGCCTCATTAGCCCTTCTGACATGTGGGAGTTTAGAGTGATCAGTGCCCTTCTTCAGATTCCCCCTCTCTCTCTCTGTTTTCTAGCTTAACTCCTACAAGGTTATGTAGAAGTTTAGCCTAATGCAAAAAGACGCTGTTTAAGCTACATCCTTATATCTAGCCCTGATTCCATGCTGCAGCATCTGTGGGGGGGGTAAAAGACTGGGATAGTTTTCTTTTCTCTATAAATTCATGAATGGATTTTGAGGGTTTTAAATATTTATGACAAACAATTGCAAATTTAACAAAGAGGGCATCAGTGGGACACACCCTTGTACTGCCCACACACTGACTGAAACAAGCCAGGTGCAGCAACGGTAGAGAGCAGACATCAACTACTTTTGTTTTTTGTTCAGTTAAACACAGACTCCCGCTGCACTGCCATTAACACTTAGGTTGCTATCAAAAAAGATTATAACATTGGGCTAGGTTTGCTTGCTTTTATAGTGTCTGTTGGCATGGCAACCCCCCTGCCTCTGCGTTTTTGTGTGCTTCGTATAAATATCTCAGCATCTTAAATAAGGATAGGAATTGGGTATTTAAAGTGAATCATTAAAACAAGGGTCATGCTTAGTGAGAGTCCATTACTTTTACAATGTTTTTGATATGTTAGAGCCCCATAAATCTGTGACATATTCTATTGGCAGACTAAGGTAGGTCTAATCAGGAATGAATGAATAAATGAATGAATGAAGGAGGGAAGGAAGGAACAAATGAAGGAAGGAGCGAAGGAAGGAAAACTGAATAACAAAGAAGTGATGTAGAACACAAAGGATAAGCACAATGAAAAACTGGACATAAGAGAAGAATGAAGGAAACAAGTGAAGAAAGGTTAGAGGATAAAGGGAAGAAAGAAAAGATTGGCATGAGAGTAAAACAAGAAAAGAGAAACAAAGAAAACATGTGAAAAAGAGAATACTGCACAGCAGGAAAAGAATGAAGGAAACCAGGGATCAAATGAAAGAAGGAAGGAATTACAAAGAGAAAAAGAAATTAGGCAAATAGAAGGTGAAAGAAAAGGACAAAGCAAATGGGGTGAGAGAAGAGGGAGGGAGAGACAGTGAATTAAATAACAGCAATGACAAGGTTTAAAATTTTCAAAAAAGAGGGGAAAGAAAGAAAAAACACAGAGAGGGAAGGTAAGTGAAAAAAGAATAGTTAAAACAAGGGGCTAGAACTCAAGGACAAGAAAACAGAAGGAAGCCAGAAAGGATGAGGAAAATAAAAAGGCAAAAGCAGAAAATGAAAACAAGCAGAAAAATGAAAACAAGGAAGGTATGACATAAAAAAAGGAAGAACAAAGAAAGGGAAATAATGGAGAGGTAAGCAAAAGAAGAAAGAAAGGACACAAAATATGAACTGCAAAATGGAATACAATGAGATGAGGAATAAAGACTAGAAACTTTCAAAGTCAAAAGCCGAGCTTAAAACAAAAGTAACAACTGGAACGCACCTGAACCACCTCAGTGGTTACTTCCAGCTTGCTGAAGCGGTAGATGATAACATTGGCTGACACCCCAGCCACACAAAGCATCCTGCTCTCGGGGCACCAGGCCATAATCTGAATGGCAAAAGGATCTTCGTCTGAAACCTCACTGCTACCCTTGTCTTCCTTGGATCGGTTCCTGTCAAAAATCTTGGCTGTTTTTAGCTTATAGAGGACCTGGAGCATTACTGTAGAGGAGAGAGAAGAAATATTAGCTGCAGTGTCAAGATGATAAGGACTCAGAGCTGAATAAGGGTTTTGATCACTGCTGTGAGAAAAAAACGAACTGAAAACAATTTTTAAAGAATATCTTATCTTTCTCTCGCATATCACTTTTTGGCTCAAAAGAGAAACACAATTTTTAAACAGTCGAAAAGAAAAGTGAGAATAAGACAAATAGAAAGAATGACGTACTTGCAGAGGCATCCCAGAACTTCACCGTTCCGTCAGCATGCCTACAATAAGTAAAGAGAATGAAAAACCAAAACAGGACAGACCACAAACATGCAAGGCATTAATCTAACCTCTACAATTATTGGTTGCTTTTCAAAAAAAAAAAAATCTCTAAAAACAAACCCAGAGTCCAGACACATACAGTATTGAAACAGAAAATCCACAGTTGAAATGTCAAGCAGCTTTAAAAATATAAGCATCTATTATCAGGAAGAAATTAACATAATAGATAAAAATGAGCTTTAAACTGTTTTGTCTGAATATTCACTTTTTTTTTCATATTTTGTCCGATCACAATTTTGTCCATATTAAAAAAAAAAGATATTTTTAGATTAAAAAAGGAAAAATAAAATCTCAAAAATTTGATTTTCATTTATAATCCCCCCTGTTTACTATGACCTAACATAAAAAAGCAAATGAGTCCACTTAAGTTTGAAAAACATCCACTTATAAATATGACTGTTTTGTGAAGACTCCAGCAGTTTTATAAGGAAAGATAAGTGGAAAAAAATCAATATAAAGACCAAGAATCAAAGACCACAGGTTAGGAATACAGTTACAAAGAGGTTTAAAGCAGGGTAAGGTTATGAACAACGTTTTTAATGCATTGGAGAGTCCACGGACCACTATTCAAGCATCATTAAAAAGAGTAAGAGTATAACCGGGTATCTCTAGAGAAAAAAATTCAAGTTTGAGCAGGAGGATCTTTTTAAAGGACACAACTGTTCATGAACTGGAGCAACTTCCCCTCTCCATGAGAAATAGAACAAGAAATGAATTGCTGGCCACAAAAACTAGCTGGAATTTTGCAATATGAAATCATGTGAGAGAAAGAAATGAGTACCGATCGTGATAAAACAGGATCTTCTGGCATACATACTGAACACATGCATGTTATCAAGCTAATGTGCCATGACAGCACATTATTCTGAACAAACCTTCCCCTAACTGAAATGCTGTGGTGACTGACTCATGCTGTGTAAATTATTTTCTTCAGAGGGAAAATGGATGTTTTCATATATAAGGGAATATTGCTGGAGTTAGATACAGGGTAATTATTCAAGAAAATGATTGAAAGGAAATCTTAACCCATTCCAGAGCCTTGTTGCCCACATCTAATGTTTACAAAATGAGCCTTAAGAAGGGAATGCCTGGTTGATCATGGAACATGTGGGAGGTGAGAGTTGGGCATGGTCTTGGCTGTAATTGACAGACTGATGGTGACAAGGACACTCTAAGTGCCCGCAATATAAAAATGGAGATGGGTTTAATTTATTTGCATTGTTTTCATAAGATACAGGAAATTGGGGGGAAGGTTCAGGTTTTGTGAAAAACCCCAATGGCTCTGAGTCGTACAGGTTTGAGGTGCTAACTCTAAAGATCCCCAAAGCCACAACTGTGGCCATTCCTCCAAAAGCTTTCGACCATGGGGTTGGGGATGGTTTCTGATTAGAATGTTTAATCAATGCAATCTTTGCAGTTTGGTCATTAGCAAATGATCTACATATTCATAAAGGTAAATGTGCAAAGTGTTTGTGCCAAGTGTTCCACAAGACACACAATTTGTTTTTGCAACTGCCAAAAACAGTTTGCCTAAAAGATACTTGATAGCAGGCTTTGAGCTAGCATTGCGCTCGGGCGTACTAAAAAAGTGACAAATTGTACGCCTTGTTTTTCCCCAGGAAACCTCACTCAAATGTTCAAAATTTCACAAGCATTAGAAGCTGAGTTATAGAATTTTAAAATAGAATAAAAATAGAATTTTTGTTGCTTAACGGGCTACATCTACCAATCAGAAAAGCTGATCTGCAAGCTGACATTGCAGACGGATATTGCAAAGCCCTATGGTCAATAAAACGGTTTATCAATGCCTAAATTAACTTAAAACATCGAAGCCTGCAGGCAAAATATGTTTGCTTTATTATTCTGGTGCATGCAGTTTTAGCCACATACATGAAAAACACTAACATCTACTTCCAGCCGCCACAAACAGTAGCAGAAAGCTCCATGAGGCGACTTGACTGAGGTGGCAGCTGCTGAGCGAAATAATATTTTAAGATAATCTTGATGAACTGATTGCACAGAAGATGTTTTAGGTGGAATTTATGCATAAAAATATATCAAAACTACTTTTTATCCACTTTTAAAAGCAAATATAGCAAAGTCACTCTCTGCCATTAAACACAGGAGCAGCACAAGCATCAGATGCATCTTGACACGCTTTACTGGTGGTGCTTCAGTCATATCAAAGATGCTCCTGAGGCGCATCTGACCTTAATGTGGACAAGCATAAAAAATGAAGAAGCAGGCGAATTCTTGCTGCTCAAAGCACGTGGGTTGTGAACATAGCATTATACTTTCTGATTGTTTGAATTAAACTATGAAACATAATATTGTTCCTAAAAAAAGATCTTGTCTTCCTTGTGAAATTTCCACCCCTACTCAAGCACACAGACTTCCAATAATCAGGACAAAGGTAGTGTTGCAAAAATTTAGCTGCATTCCAACTAAAAAAAGAAGCCTAAAGAAGTGATATACCAAGGTGTAAACCCTATGAAAGATTTCTTGCTAAAACCCTGCTTACATACAAAAAGCACTTTAGAAAATCAGGGTCTTATAGTTAACATAACTGTGGATGCTAAACATTTTTTAAGTCTTTAAAGATCTGATTTAATTTGATGCAAAGACAATTAGGTTTTGTTTTAACGAAGTCAAGCATCAATCTTTTATTTTTTCTTATCCAACCAACTTTCATTGATGTTTAGCAATGTGACATACATTGTATTGACAAAGGTCAATAGTGTACCCTGCCTGGTCACTATAAAGTAATATCTTTATTAATTTTTTTCCCCTTTAAAAATAGATCAAATGCAGGGCTTTCATAATATATTGGCCTCAGTTACGTTTGGTGGAATTGAAACAAAAAGGCTGCAAGCCTAACCTTTCTGGAGAGAAACAAGCATATTAGCAATTCAGCGCAGAGGTGAAAGGACTTATTACTCCCTATATTCATAACTGAATGTCACGTCAGGTGGGTAACTGATCTGTTAGAAAACCCTGCTTCTGCCGTCCCTCATTGCACATGAAAAAATAAGAGCCTGCTGTGAAAAAAAAAAAAATCTTGCTGAGTTGACCTAAAGAGCTCATATGGATGTGGAACAAATTGTAGACTGCTTAACATCTTACCCGGTGATGATGATCTCAGAGAAGCTTTGTGTGCCCTGTCCCCAGTTTCCACCACTTATGGGCCACTCCTTGTTTAAAAAAAAAAAAGGACATACATGTTGATTAATATTTGTGTAAACAAAGAGGTGTCCTTATACACATTACTTCTAGATTGATATGTCATAATAAATGTCTTAATATCCCAGTTCGCAGAGGAAAACATGTAGAGTCTTTCCGCATCTCTCTTGGTGTGTCTTGCAATAACATATTATACACCTCTGTGAGAGACTGTGTATGTCAGCGTGGGGTCTGGCTCTCAAGTCGTCGACACACACAAAGGTCAACAGTATGACTCACAGTGATCTTCATATGAGAAGGCCCCCCTGCAGCTTGGTGAAGCTTTTCTTTTGTAGAAAAAAAAAAAGAAGGGGCTAGGCTGCCAGTTCAGGTCAGTGCATTCTGACATTTTCACCATAAAGCCAAACAAGGCGACGAAAAAAGAACATAAGCATAAATAATGGGAGAAAGACCAAGAGTGGGGTCTGTCTGCTATAATATAGAAAAGGCAAAAGGGAATGAGAGGTGAAGGTATGCAGAACAGCAATGAGAAATGCTGAGTAGTGAGTTCATGCATTTTTTGCCTTATGAAAACATACAAAAATATAAGTAAATCTCAACTCATTTACCAGAGTTGAGATTTCCTTTGATTCTGATTTGTTCTTATATTCTAATTTGTTCCTACAATGTATCACAAATTTTGATGGCGTCTAAGAAAGAAATACATACAATACATACATAATATGGAGATTCTAAGCCAATAAGTATAAAGAACCTCACTCTCCAGTTTTAGTAGGCTTAGCTGAATTTCTGAACATTTATTAACTGTTCGAGTTATGAGTCTAAATATTAACCAATTGATGTAAACAGGTACTTTTAGAAACTCTACATCCACCTGTGGATGATGGCTATGCAAAGGTTCATTTAGCTGAGGCAAACTCTAGCAAAGTTTACAAAGTTTTCTGTCTATTTGCATGCCAAATTGACAAAATTCGATTTGTATGTCTAAAATATCTTAAAAATATTATCTACATATAAAAAAAAACCTTCAGTTTTTGCCGTTTCTATACCAAAACAGGAAACTGATATTTGAAACACCCCCTAAAGCACCAAAAAAAATCTTGTTCAGCTTTTCTTTGGTACTGAACTGAGCTCATCAAGTCACAGGCCAAAATTATTTTGCGTGTGAAACAAAGAGGATCATTAGGTTTTCACCATCCTGCCCAACTTTGACAGGGTTGCATCGCTACCATAGTATTGCAGGTGGGTGTAGATGTTGGAGTTTGCATGGGTGCAGATGAAGTTTTTGCTGTTTCCTTAGTGATGAGCTCTGATGCTTCCTCTACTGTAAAGACCATTTTCAAATTTGGCTCCAAGTACATGCAGTCTAACTTTGTGTTGTGCGGTCAGCTACTGCTTTGAGCGGCCACCTGTTTTAGGCAAGGACGTGACGTCAATCTGGATTTGCTAAATTTAAAAAAAAGATCCATTGTTTTCATCCTTGCAGCATACAGAATCACGTTATATCTAACATGTTTACACCAGTCCCACCTAATCCCTAAAGAGACGATGAAGATTTATGCAAACTCATGGAAGTTAATATCTTTCCAATTATTAGAGAAACAGCTGACAATAATAGGCAAATATAAAATAATAGGCAGACATATTTGCAATGGCAAATATGTTTGTATTGAGGTGGATTTAGGATTTGGACAAAAAATCAAAATGTCTAAGGTAAAAAGGTTTTTAAAAGGTTTTATAAACACAAGTTTTTTTTCTGTGTTCTTTTGATGCGAGTGAAGTAAATCATAGGTAAGTAGTAACAAACATTTGTTTAAATCTCTGACATCTCTGCCATCAGTAGAGGTTTTTTCGTTTGAGTCAAAGCTGAGAGCGAGTTTCACAGTGACTGCATCTTTTCTTGAAGTTTGTTTGCTTCAGTTTAATCTCCTGTTGGTTTTAACGATTTGCAGTTTGTGTAAATTGTTTGTATCAACTTTTGGCCAATATTTCCATGTTCCTGTGGATAACATGTTCTATATGGCTAGAAGGTTTAAGAAAAGTTGAAGTGATAAAGTTTCAAAGAAAGTAAAGAGTATAATACCTCCCTCTGGTTGTGGAGCGTGGGGATTAAGAGATTACTTAAAAACTTTTTTTGTATATACTGAAGTTATGTTTGTCTTCTAGGAAATATTGTTTTATTATCTAAAATTGGAAGAAAAAGAAACAAAAAAAGACCTGGAAAGGGGTAGGTACTTTTCGAAGAAGTGGAAATGCTGCTTCACTAATTCATACAATATTTACCCTTACTGAAAATAACCAGAGTAAAAATGCATTTCCAAAGAGTTGCTGCTCATAATTGATTTTCTTTCTCTAGGAAGTCTTACAGTTTTCTTTCTTTTCCCTACTTTAAAATGTGATGCTGGACATAAAAAGCGGGCCTTTATCAGTGAGATGTGATAGCTGTTCTTTACAGTACCTTTTTGCTGTAACCCTGTCGTTTTTGCCGCGAGCCAACAGAGTAAAGTGCAGGAATGAGGTCCACAGGGCAGTCGGCAAAGTACTCACAGCAGGTTACAGGAGACTCATGGATTGTTAGAGGATATGGGTTATCAAATATGGGGTAACTGTTAATAAGAGGAAAAAAAAACACTGAAAACATAACTTATTCTAAAAGGAGTGTTTTGTACATTTACAGAAGTACTATGTAAACGCTTGTTAAAGAGCTTCATCAAATTCTGGATAATGACAATACAAAATAATTATAACAAATGGAAACAATAGTATTTTGTAAGAAAACTTCAATAGTTAAATCAGCTTTAAGTAAGGTAGTAAAGAAAATAAGATTTACCCATTTTGTGAAAGGTCAATCACCACTAAATCTTTTTCTAAAAGGACCACCACAGCATAAGGCTCCTGAAAATCTGTAGAGTAGATAGATAAGATGACTTAAAAAAGGAAACACTTGGGCAGCATAGGAAAGAAAACCACATGTTTAATAGGAAACTCTTTATGGATCAATTTGTGTTTCATCTGGATAAACTACCTTAAGAAAGATTGAATACTATGATTAATGAAAACATTTAATTATTAAAGATTAATAGGCCAAACACTGTGGTTACTACAATGGCAGGCAATGTGTAATGAATGTACATTGACATTGACATTAATGCAAATATTTAATCTTTAGAGACAACAATGATCACTAAGCTGCTTTGTGCTGACAGCAGTAAAGATCAGCCCAGAGTTATGAGCCTCCCTGAAGGGGACCTTGAAAAAGTTTTTTGGAAGGCAAGTAACACAAAACTGTATTTCCATACATTTTGTATTATAACAAAACTAAGTACTATTACACATACTCTACATAAATGTCATATATTTTTTGGTTTAATAGGAAAGTGTAATTTGAAATGGGAATAACTTATTCCCAGTTAAAGGGACAAATATTGATGGGTCCTCTCAGCCTCTATAATCATTTGATTATAAGCAAATGTGGGTCAAGTACTTAAAAAAATGCACTAAAGAAAGAAAGGCACTATTTTATCCCCTTTTCACTCAAGTAAATGTAGAAAGCAATCATCCGAGAAATTACTTAAGTTTGAGTAAAAAGTACTTGGTATAAAGGCTGCTTGTGTACGGGGTAAATGTTCGGTCATAACATGTTATTTAATATTAAAAAGTGCATAATCAGAGAGTTGTGTGCAAATTATAGCATTTCAAAGTATAAAAGCCAAAATATGGATAAATAACACAATTATAAAATAACAAATTTGTGCAAAGAAAGACTTTTTCACATCATTCTTTTCAACATAAAAAAGATTTTAAATAGACCTCCAGCTACAATATCAATAGTTTAATGTAACCTACAACCTAATCTCCAAATAGCTCAAGGTACTAAAGGTGGATGGATTCATTGGAAAATGTAGTAGAGTAAGATATGCACAATAAATATTTGTTAAGGGTAAAAAGTGCAGTGAAGTAAAACTACTCTTAGAAGTGCATTTTTTTTAAAGTTACTCCAGTAAATTTAACAATGTAGAACTAACTAGTTATTAAAAACGTCTGCTTAATGGATAGTTTAATATCTACAGCTGTTAGGTTTCTAGTTTTCAAAGTTATTGGCCTTAAAAAATAGGTAAAGCACAAAGTCTAGCTGTATATACAGTAGGAATGTTCAAAGTGCAATAATCAGGAACCCAGACTAATTGAGGGATTTCTAAATGTACGTTACATTGTTTTGATTAGATCATCATTTTGTATTGTATAATCTACGATAACTATTATTTATTTTGTAATTAATTAAATCATTAAAAACATTGGCAAATCTTTTTGCAATTCATGCAACTCTCCTCTGTACCAACTTTTCTCAGTGCAACGACACTCAAATAAAACAGAAAAAGTGTAATCAGTTTATTTTTGGGGCGCAGCATTTGCTATTAGAAATAATCAATCATAGAAATTGTCCATGGCAGGAAAAGATCAGACATGTTACCATATAGTACAGCATATGTGACAAAAAAGGACATCATCATTATATGCTTTAATACAAATAACATTCTGTGGGTTGTGGTATTGACACAAAATAAAAACAAAATGATAATGACATCTTACTAACATTCAAATACCACAAAAAATAATTGGCCTCATATAGGACAAAAATAAAGTTTATGAAAGTTTTTACTGTTGGCCAGCAAAATATTTCCACTGAAACATGAAAAATGCAATCGGAGTGAGACATTTACATGTGATTCCTGTGTACTGTAGAGGCACATGCTTTGTAAAGAGAAGCAAAGCATGCGACCCTATTGAGAGTGGCACAATTAGGGCCATTACATTGAAGCGACACCCGTGATCGATGCTGCGATGCAAATTTGGCTGTAATTTAAAAATATGGACTTTTTTGTAAAAACAATCAAGGACTGGATGTGGCTGTGACAGAGTGAAGAAGCAAAGTGGAGGCAAAGCTTTTTTCAATCAAAACAGAAGATAATATGATAAATGATAGAAAACTAATCTTGATATAGGATGATGTAAGGATGCTCCAATGAGGTTTGTGATACCCTTTATAAAAGCAATTTTAATTCAACATTAGAAAAGACTAGTATATAATTTTTCATTTGTGCTCCTCCCTTAGATCCAGAGCTGGTCCTGGGTCACCTGTTGCCTTTGTCTAACTGAAATGCTCTCTTTGTCCGGCATCTTGCACTTTATCCATGCTGTTCACCCTGAGCTCCAGAGCTGGTCCTGTCCTACTGCAGCCTCTGCCCAGCCTTGGTGATCTCTCTCCACAGCTTCTTGCTCCGATCTTCCCCTCCTCCTGTCTAAGGTCCAGATGACCTCCTCACCTGACCTCCATTACCCGAATGATACTGGTCCAGCTCACCATAATGAGTTGAAACCAGCAAGCAGGAGATTGATGATGCAGTGAGGTGAAGAAGGTGGCCAACTATGTGCGCTGATAGTAAAAATCCATACCGGCATGCAAATTTGGTAAAAAAACATAAAAAACTAAAATATCTGGAAAGACTATGGTGTGAATGTACTATTATGGTATAATAGTAGCCATTTGTTTTCCCACAGCAGGGTTATTACATTTAAGTTTACTGCATTGACAGCAGCTATATTGTTATACATTATTTATAGTTATAAAATTAAATTTAATGATGATTTAAGTATACACAATCACACACAATTATACAGGGTTTGTGTAGTAACTGTGACCATCGGCAAACAAAAAGCAGGAGATTCTGGAATCAAGTTGCCAGTGATTTAATGAATTGTTACATAATCTACTAATCCTCTCCCAAGCTGTATGTGTGGCACATTACACAGCAGCACAGATTACACCCAGGATTACACACACTTAGGACCCTGTGCCTTCTAAAGCTTTTTCAAACTGTTAACTCACCAGTAAAAGGTTAGTAGATGCAAATGTAAATCTTATGAAAGAATGTTATGTACAAAGGCATGAAACCAAAATGTAATGAAATATTCTGTTTCTCAGTTAATTAAAGGTAGAGGTAGGATCCTCACACTTGGGAAATTTACTGCAAAAAGCAGCAACACAGCCATTCTGCCTGAAATAATTAAAAAGAGTAGAGTGTGTGCTTGGATTTATTTATTTTTTTTTTGTAATTGAATTCTCAATGAGCATGGAGACAATGATTAACATAAAATTTAGATGTTACAAAGTGTAAAAAATGTTTGATCAAAACATAATCTTACCATTAGGATATGGTGTCTCACATAGTGTTAGAAAGTCTACTATGGGATAATCCATCTCCAGCACAGCAATACTTTTTCCATGCATAACTGTCAGACATGGCCTCCGTCCTACCGTGTCATAGGACAGACCTCCAGAGAATATGATAAAAGGGTCCCTGAATAGAAAGACACAACAGGCACAGACAGGAGAGTTTGTCAAACCTTTGTTCATGAATTGTAGTTTCATAAAACTAAGACAAAAAGTCATGGAAACCTTTGGAGCAGCAAATCAGAGTAGCAAAAACATCATTCAGAGGGGTTGCATTGTAAATTTGAAGTCTTATGAAATGTGTTCTACTGTATCAAGTTTTAACCAATAATATTTGTTATACCTCTAGTCATGAGATTTATTAATGCGAGCTTCTAAAAAAGCAACAAAATAAATCCTATTTATTTTATTTATTTTTCCTATTCCTATTTGTGGAAGGCAAATAACTAAATATATGTATAGTGTCTCCTCTTCCCAGCTTTGGTAAATTAAAAACTATTTGAACTGGAAATCCTCCGATCAATTGCAGATATAGCATCGTAAGTGGATTTAAACAGTTAACGGTACGACAAGAAAGCATTGATATGGTTGGTAAGCTACTGTTTAGTCGAATATCCACATTTCCATGTATTGAAGTTGGAACCTGATGGCAGTTTTGCCTCGATCTTCTACACCTTGTCAGAATGCTCAGAGAACTAAGCAAACGTTTGATTAAAACCTTCTTGTCAATCTTACAATTGGCTGATCCATCAAACCATGTGATGGGTTATACTGATTTTGTGCATGTGTGTGTAGCTAGTTTGCTTCCATCACTCACTTCATTTATTCATATTTCTAACAAAATCATTCAAATAAGACATCTTTTATGCCACAAGCCATGGTATTATTTTTGGACATTAAGGGCTGATGTCAAGGCTGACTAACCTTGAACATTGGTGAAGGAAAACTTTTAATTTTCCCTGAAAATAACCTACTGTAGCAATACACTGTCAGAGGGACATGCAATCCTTCCCCTGCCTCTGTACTTGGGTCCAAAAAGTAAAGTATCTACACACCAAATTTATCCTCTTTGCTCATGGACCAATAGAAAGATGGGTGAATATGCAACAATACAGGTGAGGAATGAGCTGCAACAGAACAAGATGCAAAAGGCTGCGGGTCTAGATGGCATCCACTCCAGTCTTCTCAGATGTTGTGCAGATGAACTATGTGGCATCTTGTGGTACATGTTCAACTTAAGCCTGAGGCTTGGAGAAGCACCACAGCTGTCGATGATCTCTTGTGCTGTACCAGTGCCAAAGATAAAACATCTAAAGGACCTCAGTAGCTACAGATCGGTAGCACTGACTTCACACCTGATCAAGACCCTCAAGCAGTTAGTTTTACACCACCTACGCTCCCTGGTAAAGACTATATTGGATCCACTTTAGTTTGCCTACCATCCTGGGATTGGGGTAAATGATGCCACCATCTTCCTCCTGCTCCAAGCTCCGACTCACCTAGAGAAACCTGGAAGCACTGTGAGGATCAGGTTCTTTGATTTTTCAAGTGCTATTAACACTGTCCAGCCATGACTCATAAGGGACAAGCTGGTGTTTTCAGGAGTGGACCAGCACATGTCTAAGTGGATTCTGGACTACCTCACTGGCCGTCCACAGTATGTAAGGGCACAGGGCTGTGTCTCAGATAGGTTGGTTTGCAGTACAGGGGTCCCACAGGGAACAGTGCTGGCACCGTTCCTCTTCACCCTTTATACTACAGATTTCTCCAACTCTGCACGCCGCCACTTCCAGAAGGTCTCTGGCGATTCTGCCGTAGTTGGTCTCATCACAAGTGGGGACGATTACAGGGAGTGGACCCAGAACTTTGTGGTCTGGTGCCAGCAGAACCACATTTTGATTAATGCAGGGAAAACCAAGTGGTTAGAGGTGGATTTTCGCAGAAGCGGATCCACTGACACCGGTGAACACCCAGCAAAGTGGACATTGCGATAGTGGACTCTTATAAGTACCTAGGTGTTCACCTGAATAACAAACTGGACTGGACTCAACACTGAGGCTCTGCATAAGAAAGGTCAGAGCAGACTCTTCCTGCTGAGGAGACTGAGGTCTGTTGAGTGCAGGGGGCGCTCCTAGAGACCTTCTATGACTGTTGTCACATCAGCCACTTTCTATGGAGCTGTCTGCTGGAGCAGTGGCTTATATGTAGCTGAGAGAAAGCGGCTGGATAAGCTGATCAGGAAGGCGAGCTCTGTGATTGGATGCCCTCTGGACTCAGTGCAGGAGGTGGGAAAAAAACGATCCTAACTAAATTAACATCTGTTGGATAATGTCTCCCACTCCATGAATGAAGCTTGATTCACACCCTCATTTGTTATCCTAACAAACACCCAGTTGGGCGTGTGTTCAAAAGACAATATATGATGGTTGGAAAGTTTCTGATTAAATGAAATATTAGCCCCTCCACCCATACCCTCCCTGGGCTGGGCATTGAATATAAAGTTATTGTATAATTTTTAGACATACATCAGCAAAGCTGATGTATCTGTATACATAAAGCTGTATACATCATTTATTATGAGACATTTCATATACCCACACATTCACCCCTTTAACCTATAACATAACCTTGCTTTAGAGGTCAGCTTATGTTTATGTTTAACAAATTAAACTCATATTATCAAGCAGTTGTATAAAGTGGATATTGTAAATATTTATTTTCATTTGGTTTAGAACAAGCAACTCAATGGTTTTTCTGGCAGGAAAAAACTGTTCTGCCTTCAATATTTTGAAGTACAGCTAAATTTTGCAGCTAGGTAAATGTAGGAGTCATTACTGTCTAAGCAGCTGAATGCAGACTCTACCTCAGCACATGCACATGCAGCATTGTTGTAAAAAAAGAAGCTAGAGTGCTTTTTTCTGTCTCAATTAAAAGCGGTCATATCATATTCCATATGTTTTATTATTTGTGTTTAAATAGTATTTTTATTCGAATGTATAGAAATAAAACACCTAGAGGCTAATGCATAATGCATATACATAGATACAATAAAGTATATTTATTTTTCTCCATGTTCAGCAAATTATGTCACAAGTTAATTGTATTACTGTACTGTACAGTGCTGTACCAAAATCAGCTAAAGACTAAAACTATAGTTTTGACTTTATAGAATAACATATACGAATGCATCACTTTACAGCCTTTAACACCTGACAAGGACCTTCATGTGTTATTTTTCAAGACTGTGTACAATGTGTTTGCAAATTAGACTTGTAAGAGTGAAAAAGAGCCTACCCGTTTCTTGTTGTTTTATATTCCACTTTAAGAATGGGTTTACACGGCTCTGGCTTCTTTCCATCCTTGGGCTGTTTTCCTAAAATAGAACAAACAGAATTACTTTACTCAGCCTATTCTCTGCTTCTTTTTCTTTTCTTGATTCTTCTATTTATTTTTCACCCCATAGTAATATTTGAAAACCAGGAGGCTTTAAAAACAGAGAGAAGCAAGACAAATGCAAGGGTCGGGTGTGCAGAGGGGTTAGGTACGTTTTTTGATTTTGTGGAAACAGTCCATTCTAAATGTTTTTTAATGCAAATAAAAATGAACTTAATTATCATTTTAACTGTAAGTTATTGGAGATGATGGCTGCTGATATTATACAGTGATCATTATTGCAGGACATGCAAGGCAAATGAATTTAAAATCAGGTATTCTTTTATAGATAGATATCAAAAAGGACAATTTAACGAACGCTTAAAAGCTTTACTTAAATCGGTCATTTGAATTTAAATAATTGCCCATTAAATGCCAAAGTAATTATGTATGAAGTAGTAAGAGAAACAACTAATTGAAAAGCTAATTTGGTAAAAACCTTCATTTCTCTGCATGCAAAAACTGTTTAAGAAACAACCATTTTTCTTTGTTTTAATTAATGTCCTTATGCTTGTCTAGACTCTTCTGTTCTTTAAATAATTGGGACTCCTAAACAGCCTGTCCTTTTCTTTTGCTCTTTCATCCTGACACTGTCAAACTGTAGGGAAGTAGTTAGATCCATCTCTACCGTATATGACTATTGTTAAGGCAGAAGTATGTACTAAAACATCAAAAGAGTAGACTTGCTTTCGAATAACATAAATAGAGCCCCAGTAGTAAAGGTCATGTAGCGTATTAAGGCATAAGATAAAGCAAACACTTAATATTCCTGTTTTATGTAAAAGGAGAGGAAATAATAGAAGAGAATTTTTTTTTTTTTTTATGATAAGGAAAAGGTCATTTGTACAAATTTCTATTACAAGAGTTATAGGCAACAAGTTAATTGTGCAACTCTATCACATCAGGACCGTCAAGGTTTTCAGATGTGTGGACCCAGAAATGAAACACAAAAATTAAGCTATGGCATTCATATTTACTAATATCATAAAATACTCAAATAAATAGGCTGTTACAATAAAAATTATGCTGCCTGCATTATCAGAGGGGGGTTAATGCTGTAATGTTATTGAAACAATTAGAAATCTGTCTGCTCTCATGTAGAAACTTACATAATAGTAATGACAAAATGTGTGGTTTTTGTTTTTAGTTTCAGGATAACTGCTCTCAGATGCAGGACAGACCATGGTCTCTTTTTTCTAAGCTTTAATTAAAATACACATACAATAAACTAGCAAAACATGCAACATACAGGTGCTGGTCATAAAATTAGAATATCATGAAAAAGTAGATTGATTTCAGTAATTCCATTTAAAAAGTGAAACTTGTATATTATATTCATACATTACATACAAACTCATATATTTCAGATGTTTATTTTGTTTAATTTTGATGATTACAAATGACAACAAATGAAAATCTCAAATTCATCATATCAGAAAATTAGAATATTGTGAAAAGGTTCAAAATTGATGGCCCCTGGTGCCACACTCTAATCAGCTAATTAACTCAAACCACCTGCAAAAGCCTTTAAATGGTCTTTCAGTCTAGTTCTATAGGCTACACAATCATGGGGAAGACTGCTGACTTGACAGTTGTCCAAAAGACGACCATCGACACCTTGCACAAGGAGGGCAAGACACAAAAGGTCATTGCTAAAGAGGCTGGCGGTTCACAGAGCTCAGTGTCCAAGCACATTAATAGAGAGGCGAAGGGAAGGAAAAGATGTGGTCGAAAAAAGTGTACAAGCAAGAGAGATAACCGCACCCTGGAGAGGATTGTGAAACAAAACCCATTCAAAAATGTGGGGGAGATTCACAAAGAGTGGACTGCAGCTGGAGTGAGTGCTTCAAGAACCACCACACACAGACGTATGAAAGACATGGGTTTCTGCTGTCGCATTCCTTGTGTCAAGCCACTCTTGAACCACAGACAGCGTCAGAAGCGTCTTGCCTGGGCTAAAGAGAAACAGGACTGGACTGCTGGTGAGTGGTCCAAAGTCATGTTCTCTGATGAAAGTAAATTTTGCATTTCCTTTGGAAATCAAGGTCCCAGAGTCTGGAGGAAAAGAAGAGAGGCACTTCATCCACGTTGCTTGAAGTCCAGTGTAAAGTTTCCACAGTCAGTGATGGTTTGGGGTGCCATGTCATCTGCTGGTGTTGGTCCATTGTGTTTTCTGAGGTCCAGGGTCAACGCAGCCACATACCAGGAAGTTTTAGAGCACTTCATGCTTCCTGCAGCTTACCAACTTTTTGGAGATGCAGATTTCATTTTCCAACAGGACTTGGCACCTGCACACAGTGCCAAAGCTACCAGTACCTGGTTGAAGGACCATGGTATCCCTGTTCTTAATTGGCCAGCAAACTCTCCTGACCTTAACCCCATAGAAAATCTATGGGGTATTGTGAAGAAGAAGATGCAATACACCAGACCCAACAATTCAGAAGAGCTAAAAGCCACTATTAGAGCAACCTGGGCTATCATAACACCTGAGCAGTGCCACAGACTGATCGACTCCATGCCACGCCGCATTGCTGCAGTAATACAGGCCAAAGGAGGCCCAACTAAATACTGAGTGCTGTACATGCTCATACTTTTCATGTTCATACTTTTCAGTTGGCCAACATTTCTATAAATCCTTTGTTTTTATTGGTCTTCAGTAATATTCTAATTTTCTGATATGATGAATTTGAGATTTTCATTTGTTGTCATTTGTAATCATCAAAATTAAACAAAATAAACATCTGAAATATATGAGTTTGTATGTAATGTATGAATATAATATACAAGTTTCACTTTTTAAATGGAATTACTGAAATCAATCTACTTTTTCATGATATTCTAATTTTATGACCAGCACCTGTAATTACCCCTCTATAGAGGCCGTATTTCCAGAAAAACCTTTTAAATTAAAAATGTTTTAATTTTTAACTTTACCAATTAATATTTTTAGCATAAATGAATGACATTGGTCTTCTAAATGTTGGTAAATTGGAAAAATAGAGCAATAAACATAGTGGGGTATGAGTCGGGGATAGCATTGTTTTTTAACATGTTGCAGACCTCATATTTTTATAAAACAAAATATCTCTTTAAATAAATAAAATGTTTATTTTGAGGTCCCAGCTCTGCTAACCTTGTTTGCCTTGCTAACCCCAGGTTTCTAATCAGCCAACACCAAAGAGCATCTCATATAAATAATATATCAAACAAATCTATTGAGCTGTGTAATTGGACTGTGCTTTAGCATGCCTTCACCTGCTTACCATGTGGTGTGATTGTCTGTATGGGTTTTCCTTGGCCTCTGATGTTCCATATGGTCAGAGTTCCATCTGAGTGACTGCAAATAAACTGCTTGCCCTCATGATGCCATGCAACTGAATGGATAGCCTAGGAGATTACAAACAGGAAGGCAGAGAAGATGGAGGGGTTCAGGGAAAGGGGTTGAACAGGATAAGAACATCATGTGCCACCATGCCTGTAACACCACACGTCTGCAGTAGCGAAGCCACACGGTACATGCTACTTGTAAGTGGTTTAAAGGCCTGTGACTGTGAGCTCATGGACAGATGGCAGAAGCAAGATAAATGAATCCCGAATCTTCTGAATTTTTATTTTAGTATTTTACAAAAGACTATTTTAGGAGCATTTTTTATTATAATGCTGAGAAAAAAAAACAAGAAAAAAAAAGATCCTTGAACCTGTCAAGAGTTCCAGATCGGATAAAATATGATTAAAGCGAGGTATGTATTTATGACTATTTATTGGGTATGCAAGAAATGTTAAACTCTAGTAAAAAGATAAACTCTTAAGCATTATTTCAGTGTTAAAACTCCAAGTTTGAAACTCAGCAATTATTAAATTTATGAAACAGACGTGCAAATTAGCTATACACAGTAGATTGAAAGAAAATGAATATACTAAAATCATGTTTTTTTTTCAGACTAAATACTGTAAGATGTATTGGCAGTGTCAAGTGGTCTTTAACTAATCAGTATCCTGAAATAAAGTATTCAGCCTCAATTAAAAAATAGATAATCTCACAATAAAAGCTCTTCACAATAAAAGCTCTTAAAATCTTATTTGTAAATAATAGATAGCTATAGAATCAAAGTTTTCAATGTTTGTCTGACCTTGAAATTTTGAATCCATTTTAACTGTTTTTCTTTAGGTTTTATAAAGACATACCCTGATTGACACAAATCTTTTTGACAACTAGGGTAGTTAGCTGATATTCTAAAGCTTTCCCTTATCATAAAGCACTTAGAGTTTCCCTTTTTCTTTTATATGAAGATTTGTTGCGCAGTAATATTAAGACATGATGAGTAACTGCTCTGATATGTTTTTGGGCTGATGACGCTGACATGGTACAAGTGGTGGGTTCAGTGAGCTGCAGCCAAGGAAGAAGGATAGGCTTGTCATAAATTTGCCACAAATGATTCATTGAGGTTCTGTGCCAAATGGCATTGATGTAATCGTGTAGGTGTCCTAAATAAAGTGTGAAGATGTTTCCCATTTTGCTAAATATAATTAAGCTCCATGCTTTTGAAATAATGAGAGTTACATTGTTGAATAACTTGTTTCTTCAAACATTTAGACCTTATTATATTTGGAAATTCAAATAAAGATTACACTGGGAATTACAAAAACTCTAAAGATGTTCCTTTTCACTTTGTTTCTAAAAGGTTTCCGTGTATTGAAATTAAAAAATTATCTGTAGAGTAAGACAAAACTGTCAAACCTAAGAATCATCAGAAGTCACATCAATGAAAAATATATAAAAAAAATATTAAGTAAATATTATTTAAGAAAAGGCAGAAAATGAATAGAGCTTATGAAAAAAAACATATTTCCTGACCAAGATCCTTCATTTACACAATTAATGATGTTCTGACTGCTACAAACCTTGTAAAAATCTGTTGATTTTGACAGTCCCAACAGTCCCCAATCCACTATGCCTAATTAGAAAATGAGCAGGGTAATTAAAACACATGGCGCTCATCAAATGAAACAATACCAATTAAAAATACTAATTTTATGATTTATCACATTAGGCCCATTTCCACAGATTGATCTTTAGGGAAGAGACAAGAAAGTCAACACACATTATAGGCAGAGGAGAGCATCATGCACTTACACACACCCACACACGATCACCCTGCCCCCCCCCCCACAACCACCACCACACACACACACACTCGTTTTGCCATCGTAGTGAGGACCATGTGTTGACTCCCATTGACTTCCATTGGTTTTCAGTCATTTTCAACCCTTTCTATGTCCTAAACCTAGAACTAACACTAAACCTAACCATTGCCAATGCCTACCTAACCCTAACCAAACTGACACCTTACCCCTAAACCTAACCATTGCCAATGCCTACCTACTGTAACCCTAACCAAATTGACACCTTACCCCTAAACCTAACCATTGCCAATGCCTACCTACTGTAACCCTAACCCTAACCAAATTGACACCTTACCCCTAAACCTAACCATTAGCAAAATAGCATGTGAGGACCGGCAAAATGTCCTCACTTTGCAACAACTGGTTCTCAATTTGATGGTGAAATTGGGAAAATTGTCCTCACTCTGAGGTCTAGACAGGTACACACACACACACACATACACACACACACACACACACACAGTTACAGTGAAGCCAATAACAAGCACACAAATTAATACTGTGGGATGAAACCAGATGCAAGGCATATGTATGTCACAGCCTCAGCTGTAGAACAATCTGCCAGCAATGTGTCATAATGGGACCAGTAGGAGCTCTAAACTACCACATCTTTTTCAGTCGCATCAGAGTTCATTGCCCTGACAAAATAAAAGTACCTAAAAAGTAAAAAGACTTATTTGCTTTTAAAGTCTTTTTAATCAGGCAGACACGATAATAGTCTTATAGTAGGAGTCCTTTATTTTACAGAGCTTAAGTCTAAAGTAGTTTTTTAAAAGTTCTGGATACATTTCTGCTGACTGATCACATTTATTTTTATTAGGGTTTAAAAAAAATTCTCACCTGTTAAAATATGCACAAACACCAGCACTTCACACGCCATAACTATCCTCAAAACGGTTTCTGCTTGTCAGCTCCGCACACACGCGTGCATTAGTGTGTACTGTACGGGTTTATTCTCTAGCGTCCCGTATCGCCTCTTGACAGCTCAGGATGTCGTTGTGCAGCCCTGCCAGGAAAACGCTTCCCATAATCTCCCTCATTCAGGAGCAAGAGCAGATAAGTAAGAAATCAGACAGTCAAACAATCTATCTGCTTGCTAGAGGTCAATTGCAAAGTGGAATCGAACCTGTCATGGCCCCACACACTTTATTAATGTATTCGTAAATTTTGCTAAATCTGGTTAGTAAAAAATATTACTAGTATCAACATATAAACCTTCAAGATGACTTGCAAAACTACTTATGCAAACTCGGCCAGAATCCTTATGTTGTTATGCAGGGAGCGCAGATAAGGATTTTAACACGATGAATGAACAGTCTTAGTAATAGAATATGGTAATATGGCGCCACTGAGTTTTATTCAGCACTTGACTATATTAGCATTAGTTTATGAAAAGAGTGCAGTGATAGGCTAAGCCCAATAAATATAAACATAATTTTATCACCTGGTTTACAAATGCTTGTATCTCTGTTACACTAAAACTCTGATTTCTCTGTCACTTCCAAATGCTTAGGTCAGATAAATGTAAATGTGATCTAGAGATTAGTCGGTTATGAATTTTGGTATTCCACTACAACCACCTTTTACAAACCTTTTTCTCCTGGCTATTCAATCTCATGACATTTTTTCTTTATGTTTTTATTGTGAATCAGTTTAATTTACTTTAGTCATTAAATTAATTGGAGCTACAAAAATGATTAGGAAAAGAATGTATACGTGAAATATAAAGGTAAAACTGCAAATGTAAAGAAGTTTCTTGTCAAGTTGTGATTACACACTTGTCCTTAATAAGACCTCCACGTAGTGTTTGGAAGTTTTTGCTCGCACAAGTGGAGCAGTACGGCTATCACTATAGTATTCCTCTAGATACAGGGAGTATTACAGATTTTATGGACACTGCAATGTAAGTAGAACAGGAAAGGAAAAACAGATGAAAGATGAAAGAGGAGTTAAATGGCGATAACGATAAAACACCTTCAGTCTGCTTTATCACCTGCAAAGAGATGTAAAAAGAACAGCAAAAACAACAGATATAATATAAAAGACACAATAAAGTAACACCTTGATACTATAAGTAGTATTATTTAATCTGACATGTATATTGTGGTAGCTGAAGATAAGAATATGGGCTTTCTATATGGAAGTGAATCTCTAAGTACATGGAACCAAGTTGTTTGTGAGAGTGCACTTGTGCATGTAAAGTTTATCCAAAGGAAAAATGCTCAATAGTGGTTGTGAAGAGCCAAAGATTCGCCCCTCCTGTGAACAGAGGCATGTGCCGGGGGACCCAAAGCCCCAGACACCCAAAGGGACCCCAAGTGCAAAGGTGCCCAGGAGGGGCCAACCCAGAAAATCTGCCTCCCCACGACGGGAGGAGGATAGACGGCGCCGAGGAAAGCCTCCAGCCGCTGCAATGTTGGAGCCCCCAGGACCCAAGGCCCCCGGGGGGCACAAAACATAACTAACTTGAGTGAGAAGAACCTGTTAAGTTTAGCTCCAAATGTCTGGACAAAGAGTAGAGAGGTACAGTTAAGGTCTGTTGTTAGATCTCCACAGTAAGATATAATAAAGAGAGCCATGTTACCTGCTGCGCTTTCTTATCAGGTCCATGTTAAACCTATTCGTCTGGATATCTTAGATTTATGTCTTTCTCTTCTAACAATCAGAAGGAAGCATCAAATGCCACACTAGAAATAACTGATAATGCATTTTTGATGATTTTGCAAATTTTACCCTAAATTTGGCTCAAAAGGAAAGGTGACCTTGGAACTATTTGAAATTACCTATAAATTAAAAATGAATGTTAAGTTTTATAGGGATGTTAATTTATTTTCCAACAGGACTTGGCATCCACTCACACTTCAAACACTATTAATATCCAGTTTAATAACCATGGTGTCATTGTGTTGATTGGAGTATTGCCGAGAAGAAAACGAGAGAAGTCAAAGGAAGGAAAGAAGCTGACCCAAAGGTAGCTATTAAAGCAACCGAGATTTCCCTAAATAGAGCCACAGGCTGATCACCCTAATGCAGCGCCTCAGTGATTCATGCAAAAGGGAAACTTGACCAGATATTAAACAGATATATACTACCTCAATGAATCAGATGAGTAAGCGTTTAAAAAAACCCACAAAAAAAAAAAACAGTTGCAGCAATTGTTTCTGCATCTGGGCTGCATTTTTTATGTTATCATAAGTTATATT